ACCATGGAAGTACGGCCAAAACCATTCAAGTTCTGACCCTGTGATCCCTACCCACCGCTCCAACCAAGCAAGCAAAATGTCATGGTCAGTCCCATCAGCGGCTGCAGTTAGATCTAATAACAGTGGCGCCACAGAGAAACCATAATCTAAAGATACATAGCTGTCATTTAAAACCCTAAGTAAGACACATCCACACTCGGGTGAGATAACTTCATCCGCGCTGTACAGAGCTGTTTTAGGCTGAGTGGTACCCTTCGAAAACCAGCTTTGGAGTGACAGGAGACACACCATCAGGGCCAGCCAGGGACTTTCTGCGCATTCAGAGTCATGGATTGCTTCCTCACATCTGCCTGTTGTTGTGGAGGTGTGTGATGTGAGGTCTTCCTGAGTGTGGGGTAAGGAGCAGGGGTTAAACCAGACTGTAAGTCGCGAGCTCCACCAAGCAACAGCTGTTTTTTGTGTTTACTACTTTTTCTTTTTCTTTATTTTTTCACGAGTAGCACATGTATCCTTGTGTACGACCGACAAACCTTACTGGACATAAAAGACGGATTTTCTCATTGCTTTCCGGAGTTCAGGTTTTTCATCACGAACCCGCCATTTGCAGATCCCCCATTCATCTCACCTGAGACGCCTTTGTTCTGGGCCCGTGGAGGCCTCAAGCGCCGACGCAGAGGGAGAAGATCTGGGGTTCTGGTTCGACTGAGACGGCGCACTAACAGACCACCATTACCCAGTTTACTACTGGCTAATGTGCAGTCCCTGGAGAACAAGCTGTGCGAGCTTCGGGCTCGGATCTCATTCCAGCGAGAGATGCGGGACTGCAGCGCAATCTGCCTCATAGAAACCTGGCTATCGGACAAAGTACCGGACACCGCAGTACAACTACCGGGGTTCTCCGTGCACCGCGCGGACAGGTCACAGGAGCTTACTGGGAAAAGCAGAGGTGGAGGTGTGTGTTTCATGATCAACAACAGCTGGTGTGATTATGCGAACGTGCACCCGGTCAAATCCTTCTGCTCTCCGGACCTGGAGTACCTGATGATTAAGTGCCGGCCATTCTGGCTACCGAGGGAATTCACAGCGGTGATTATTACGGCTGTTTACATTCCCCCACAAGCCGACACTGACCAAGCGCTCAGAAAACTGTACAGCGCGATCAGCAATGAGGAAACCGTACCCCCAGAGGCGGCGTTTATTACAACCGGGGACTTTAATAAGGGTAACCTGAAGAAAGTCTCACCAAAACTACACCAACACATCCATTTCAATACACGCGGAGATCGGCTACTCGACCACTGCTACACCTCTTTCCGAGATGCGTACAAAGCCCTCCCCCGTGCCCCATTCGGCCAATCAGATCACCGCTCCATCCTGCTTATACCCGCCTACAGGCAGAAGCTGAAACAGGAAGCTCCAACCCTGAGGGCGGTGCATCGTTGGTCGGACCAATCGGAGTCTGCGCTGCAGGATTGTTTTGATCGTGCGGACTGGGAAATGTTTCACGCGGCTGCTAGAGACATTGATGAGTACACAGACTCAGTCTGCGGATTTATCAGGAAATGCGTGGAAGATGTTGTCCCATCCAGAACAGTTAAATCCTTCCCGAATCAAAAACCCTGGATTAATGGAGGTGTGCGAACGGCGCTGGCGGCGCGGAGCACCGCCTTTGCCTCCGCGAACACATCGGACTACAAACACGCACATTACCAACTCCGGAAGACGATCAAAGCAGCCAAACGTGAGTACAGAGACAGGGTGGAGCAACAGTTTGACAACCCCCGGAGTATGTGGCAGGGACTAAACACAATCACAGACTTTAGAGGGAGAACCAGCACACCGCAGACCACGGCCTCTCTGTGTGAGGATCTAAACGCATTCTATGCCAGATTCGACACAGCGAACACCATGAGACCGGACAGTGAGCGCACCGCGGATGACGTCAGTGCGCACACTGTGTCTGAGGAGGATGTGCGGAGGTGCTTCAGGAGGATGAACGCACGCAAAGCTACTGGTCCGGACGGGATTCCCGGCCGCGTCCTCAGGTCATGCACGGGTCAGCTGGCTGGAGTGTTTACACACATCTTCAACCTTTCCCTCTCTCTGTCTTTAGTCCCAGCCTGCTTCAAAATGGCCACCATTGTCCCTGTACCCAAATCCTCCACCATCTCCTCATTGAATGACTGGCGACCTGTAGCCCTGACGCCCATCGTGAGCAAATGCTTCGAGAAGTTGGTCAGGGACTTCATCTGCTCTGCACTGCCCGGTTCACTGGACCCTCTACAGTTTGCATACCGCCACAACAGGTCCACTGATGATGCCATAGCCCTGACACTCCATGCTGCCCTGTCACACCTGGAGAAGAGAGACACGTATGTGAGAATGCTGTTTGTAGATTACAGCTCAGCATTCAACACCATCGTTCCCTCGAAGCTGGACTGGAAACTGCAGGATCTAGGACTGAGCAGCTCCCTCTGCAGCTGGATCCTTAACTTTCTGTCTGACAGATGCCAGGTGGTCAGACTGGGCGGCACCACCTCATCCCCCGTCACACTGAACACTGGTGCTCCGCAGGGGTGTGTGCTGAGCCCTCTCCTGTACTCACTCTACACCTACGACTGCACGGCCACGAGAAACTCCAACAACATTGTGAAGTTTGCGGACGACACCACAGTGGTGGGTCTCATCACCAACAACGATGAGACGGCCTACAGGGAGGAGATCAGCGCCCTGACCCACTGGTGTCAGGACAACCGTCTCACCCTCAACGTCACAAAGACAAAGGAGATGATAGTGGACTTCCGGAGGTGCAGAGGAATACACACCCCCATCACCATCAACGGCGACGCTGTGGAGAGGGTGAGCAGCTTCCGTTTCCTTGGAGTTCATCTGGCAGAGGATCTTACGTGGTCAGTGCACACGGAAAATACGGTGAAGAAGGCACAGCAGCGCCTCTTCTTTCTGAGAAGACTGAAAAGATTTGGCATGAGCCGCCGCATCCTCAGGATCTTCTATCGCTGTGCCACTGAGAGCATCCTCACTGGATGCATCACCGCCTGGTATGGCAACAGCACCGCTTACAACCACAAAGCTCTCCAGAGAGCAGTGCGGTGTGCAGAAAGGATTATTGGAGGCGAGCTTCCCTCCCTCCAGGACATCTACAGGAAGCGGTGCCTGAGGAAAGCGGGGAGGATCATCAAGGACTCAAGTCACCCCAGCCATAAACTGTTCAGACTACTTCCATCAGGAAGGAGGTTCTGCAGCATCCGGTCCAGAACCAGCAGACTGACAGACAGCTTTTTCCATCAGGCCATCAGACTGCTGAACACATCGCAGACACCTCACCCTCACTACTGAAACTCCAACATTACACGCTCCATACTGTACATTAATGCCACTGCTCTGCACAGACCAGCCTCTGTATATTTATATCTCTCATCTTATTGTTTACTTTATTCATTTCTAAAACATGTATATACACACTATACACACACTCACACACTCACACGCACACACGTAGAATAAATAAATAAATAAAATACTAGCACACACATTTAGTAATGTATATACCTTACATACTATACATATTATTACTTAGATTAGCCATTTTTATATTTTGCGTGTTTTTACTTTACTGTATTTTTGCACAACTCTGTTGCTGTGAAGCTCGCACACAAGAATTTCACTCGCCTGTACTGTACCAGTGTACCTGCACATGTGACGTGACAATAAAAGTGATTTGATTTGATTTGATTGTTATAACTCACCCTGATACATGATAGTATGATGCTGTCCTGGCAGACGTGGGTGTAGGAGCTGACGATATCTGTGTATTCATCTAAACTGTCCGAGGCAGCCCTCTGTCTGCCAGGCTGTGGTTTCTAAGCATGTGTGGAGCCTCGTTGCTCCTGTTGTTCACTTCACAACAGGTTTGTATGCTGAGATCAGATAGGTGGTCACGAGGTCAGGAAGTGTGAGTGCAGATTGGGGCTCTGCATTTTAGGCTCCCGTTACTATGCTGTAACAGTGATCCAGTGTTTTCTCCTTTCTGGTTGTGCATTTAATGCACTCTTTATATTTGGGAGGTTTCTGGCACAGATCAGCTTTGTTAAAGTCTCACAGAACCATGATGAGTGAGTCTGTGTGGGTTTGCTCCATGCACAACATCTGCTCCGTGAGGGCTCACTGAGCCTCCTACACGTCTGCATCTGGCGGGACGTAAACAGCGGCTAGAATGAATGAAGTGAACTCACACAGAGAGTAACATGGTTTACAGTTGATTAAAATATATTCTAGAGAGGGACAGCGATGCTGAGCCATCGCTGTCACACCCATACACCAACCACTAATCGATGTAGAAAACACACACCTCCACCCGTGGTCTTGCCGGAGAGAGCCACTTGCTGATCGGCACGCAGAAGATGAAACCCTCCAGCTGGAGTGCGCAGTCCGGGATGTCCTCACTGAGCCACATTTCTGTGAAGCAAAAGACACAAGATGAGGAAAAGTCTTTATATTTCTCATCTGGTCCAGCTCATCCATTTTGTTCTGGAATAACGGCACATTAGAGTGGAAGATCCCAGAGCCATGCATAATCTCCTTTCTGCAGATGCATGAGCGCACCGGCTCACTTTCCTACTCAGTCTGTATCAAGTCTGTCGCGGATGCAACAAAAACAGAAAATAAATCAGCTGATGTCGTAGTGTTGTAGCATGTGTGTCCTTCTCTCGTGTAAGAGAACCCAGCTGCCTGTAACCTCAGTGACCTTATTCAGAAACCAGAACTGGGTCAGTGTGCTGAAAGCTTATGTGCCATTTAGGCACAGTTAGGATGATGCAAACGGCCAATGACAGGCCCACAATATATAAAATGTTATGTATTAATAAAAAAAATTCTGAATGAATGACTTTTTCAAAATGAACACATTCTTTCATGGGCCCAAGCTCTGACTGTATGAAGGGGTATTGATCAGGCTTTGTGTACTGTTGGATTTTCCTCAGAAATCTGGTCACATGCCTCTCGGTGTCCATGGATGGGACTCTTCTCCTCTCTGGGTCACATGATGAAACCGTTCGTCTCTGGGACATTCAGAGCAGACAGAGTGTCCGCTGCCTCTCACATAAAGGTAAGTGTAGTGGCGACCAGTTTCCTTAGGTTTTACGTCCTTAAGCCACTGCTGCACTGAGGTGACGTCTTGTACGCAGGCAAAAGAAGTCCAACGTCCAAACGATCTCAACTGTTGAATATTTTTGGTGTATTCATCCAACTTGGAAAGTATTATATACATCTCCATCTCCTGCTGCTTCACCTGCTCTGGTAAAAAACTATAGGCCCACCCCAGTGCATGCTGGTCCAACACCAGTCCCCGCTTACAGAAAACAAACACCTCTTCTTTCTGGCTGATTCTCACAGGCAAAACAAAACTAAAATCATCATTCACCAACAACTAAACCTTATAAATAACCCAACCACTGTAGGTAACCCAAGTAGCTCCAACAGGAAGCGCTGCTCTGTTGCACCATCTCAATCAGGTTGTAACTAGTCTGAAAGTTCAGTTAAAACTTCACAAACCCGAGCTGCTGTGTTCTCTTTTGAGGGGAGAGAGTTTCTCCTTTCATGACCTTTAGCTTGCCATCTGAGGCCTGCAGAGTCTGATGTAAGACCATTCCTTCTTTCATTCATTCATGCATGCATTTGTTCAACTATAAGGACACCAGTCATGGCAGCCCAAGGTACTGAACATGATCAAATTAAAGTTGGGTTTTTGCAGATCTTAAAAAGTGTAATAATCAAAACTTTACATTTATGGCCTTAAAAAGTCCTGAAAATCACTGATTTCCATCAGTTAGCCTTGAAAAGCAGATGTCACAATCTTTAACTCTTTCATGGGCTTAATCATGGGCAAGCAACAAAGCTCAAGGAACCCGAATCTAACCACTGCATTCACTTAGGGTTCAAATGTCAGAGCAGAATCTAGCTTCACACCCAAATCAGCCATCAGCTCCACACTTTGACCTTTACCTATCATGCGAGACCTGTAGAATCTGATGTCACGACCTTTGAGCCCTTCTCTATTTGAGTTGCTTCTCTAAAGGTTGTTCTCTTCGTCCTTGTGTAAACACACACCTGTATGCACCAGAGCAGCAGTCGGGTTTAGGATCAGTCAGCACATCTGAGCCTGAAGGCTCTGATTTTGGAGGTGAACACAGACTGGAAGGGGAATCTAATCAGGGCTGTTATTTTAGGACTTGTTGAACATTTACTGAGTTTTCAGGTCTTGTGTGATCCGTATTGCTCTGTTGCTGCTGACAGGAACTTGAAGAACCGTCTCACTTAATAATCAACACATAAATATTTAGAATCTGAATCAAATGTGTTTGTCATTGAACCAGCGTCCCAGTACAAAATTAATGTCTAAGTTCAACCTTTCCAAGCGCACCAAACGTACAACACATAAAACGCTTATGGCGGCGCCCTGTGTGGCGGCGGATTCTTCGGCTCCCAGCACTACAGGAAATCTGTTGCCTAGTTCGTCGCCCACAACTGAGTTTTTTGGAGTAACTGCTCAGCGAAACAGAACAAAAATTGTAAATGACCATCAGGTTATGTTAAGTTTTGGCAATCTCAGTCATTCAGGTCTAGTAAATCCAGAGACTCTGGACACACTACTGAGCCTTGGTTTGCTGTGGCAGTCAGACCCAATGGACTACAGAGCAGCGGAGTTTCGTACCAGCACAGACCACCAATGGAGACGCAGGAGGCGATGTGAGCGGAAATAGAAATGCAGCTGTTGCCGTGGATTTACAGCTAAGTTAAAAGCTAACCCATTCCAATGGCATCTTCCATCTATCTTGCTTGCCAACGTTGGCTCCTTGTAAAGCTAACTGGACTATATAAAGCTGGATTAAACCACAAAAAGGGAGACAAGAGGCTGCTGCATCCTCATTTTTATGGAGACATGGCTAAAGTCATCTGTTCCTGATGCAGTTATTAGCTCGGAAGTTACAGCAGCTCTTGCTTCTTTACTCTCTTTTATCCTTCGCTTGTCTTGTGTTGAATGCCTTTAATGCCCTTTTTGTGGGCATATATTTCCTCAACTGCACGATCCACAGGAGTACTTTTGTGTTGTTTGTGTCAAAATGTTTTACTGCTTTCTGAAGTTATTGGGAACACACTGGGCAATTCCTCTAGCTCCATCCATGCACCTATTGTTTACTGGGGTTGTCACGGTGTGAAAATGTAACCTCACGGTTATTGTGACCAAAATTATCACGGTTTTCGGTATTATCGCGGTATTTTTTTTAAACGTGCTACATTTTCACACAATTAAATAAACCCTGTATGTCAGGAAATATTGACCTCAGTTTGTGTCTAAATTTTGCCTAAAATGTGTTATTTTGTAATTATGTTGTTTATTTGTTTACATTTTTCCCCTTTAGTCTTTAAAATACCAATATTTGCCCATAACTTCTTATTTTTTGTCTGTTTGATGTCATCATTTTAAAAATATTAGATCAGATGATACTCAGTACTCAAGTAGCCTTCTAATCAGATACTTTTTTACCCTTACTTGAGTAATAAACCCTATATCAGGAAAATATTGTCCTCGGTTTGTGTCCTTCCAGTGAGCTTTGCAGATGTGGGAAAATGTCATCAGGCAGTAATCATTGTTAAATTCATAATTATTCTCGGAGAGAGACCAACTCTTATCTGCCCCTGGGAGCCCCGTAATGCATAGCGTCATTTCAACATGGGGGTGTCCGCGACACGGTTTATATGCAGGTAGCGGCGCTGCGGCTGCTTTATATAGCGACTCGTTGCGTTCTCCCTCAACCCAAATCCTCGGATCACCCATTTTAGCTAAAACGCTAACGTTAGCTTGCCTTGCGTTGACTGTAGAGTTGTGGGTGATGGTCACGCAGATGTGTCATGAGATTTGAAGCGTTGCTGCCTTTCACAGACACTTTTTCTGCTCGTGCTGCAAACAGGATAGCCGTCTTCTATCAGCTGTCCCTAGACATTCTTCAGATATCTAAAACATGCCCGTACTTCCCACTTTGTCTTCTTTGAGGGATAATAAATGTCCTCCTGAGAGCTGCCGTCTCCTCCTTTGGCCATTATTTCAGCTTTAGCTTCAAGAAAGTTTTGGTTGTAAACAACAAAGTGCGCATGTGCCGCCGGCAACTTCAGCAGATGATACGGTGGCTGGTAAGGGTCACCGCGCCTACACCGCAGCCACGGTAATCCACCGAGATAATATAGTTTTTAAAACCAAGACGGTTATTATTACTGTCAACTTTTTTACTGGGGTTTACCGCTACACCGGTTACCGTGACAACCCTAGTCCAGGCACACTCTCACTCATTCAAACAACAGTTAAAGCAGAGCAACATCTAAGACAAACAAACAACAACAGATAACTAGAGATGCGTTTCTATTCAAGGCAAACGCTCAAAACCCCAAGCTAAAACAGAGCTGCGTTTATATTTCACGCCGAAATGCTCTTAAACCCAATTTAACCTCTGGTCACCTAGCATTTCTCTCAGTACCACAAAAGACAACAACTTGTCTGACCAGATCCGTATGGTTCCCTGCAGCGACGTCAAGTCGCAAGCACCGACCTCCAGCGAAAGCCAGTGCTGGAGGCTTTTGGAGGCGTCGCGACACGTGTCCGGCGGTGGTTTTTGGCGTCGAGAGGAAACCCGGGACCCCGGCTCCAAGGACCAATAATGTCAAGGATTTTATCAACAACCCAGTGCCAGCAACCAGAGAAAAGTAAACGAATGACAGACAAGTATCCAGATTGCAATGAGGAGGCAGAAGCTACAAGGCTACTGCCCCGAGCTCCTGAACTCCCAGTTTATTTATAACATGAGATAAGGAAGTGTGTGAGCGTGTGAGTGTGAGTGTGAGAAGGCTGAACAATAACCTGTAGAATAATTAGTCATCATGCTAGAGCAGCTTCTCTGTGAGGACCACACCAGCTTCTGCCACCATCAATAATAATAATAATAATAATAAATAACATTTTAATTTCCTTTCTGAACTATTTCGAAGTTGCATCTGCAAACGAAACGTAGCGGGGAAACAGGTAAACAAAACTACTGTTTTAAAAAGAACTACATTATAGAATTGGTGAACTTGTTGAATCAAACACACACTGATCTGGTGTAGATGAGATCTGAACCGGATCACTGCAGGAACAAAACTCATTTTAAAGCCATCATTGGTTTCTGCACAGATTATTCAAACATTTGATTTAAACATCTTGTTCATTCAACACAAATCATGATTGTAACTTATGAGCGGTAACGTCAGTAGGAGTGGTGTGTCTTCTTGTACGGTAACAGAACTTTCTGGATTTGGAGGCCTGACAGATGGTGGGTTTATGTCTGCATTTGAAAGGTTACTTCCTGGTCAGTTTGTTGGGGAAATTTTGACAACTGGTACGTCACAACATCAAGTAAAGGGTTCAGGGTTCCCACGCGTCCTGGTAAACCTGGAAAATGATAGTCCAATTTTCCAGTCATTAAAAACACATGGAAAATGGGGGGAATTGCAAAATGTCCTGGAAATTTTTGAGTTGTCCTGGAAAATAATTTTCCCTCCTTGTGGATAAACAAATGGATTAAATATTTTGGGCAGTATTGGGCTGTAGCGCTTCTCCTTTCATTTCTGCATCTAGCCTGTACAGCGCCCCACATGACGCTTCCAACCAATCAGATTGCATATTCCCCTTCAGTTCTAGTTCCACTTCTGTTTTTCTAACTGTCTTTTTGGCTAGATTTACAGATTTTTCACCCCTAGATTTATTTCTCTAAAGAAGGGCCAAAAGTAGCGACTCGGTTCACGAGTATTGCTTTATCGCAGTTTATAGAGCGAGAGGTTTTTCTCCTCCTCTCTGTTGAGTGACAAAGGAGCAGCGGAGAGCTTTTGTTTTTTTCACTCATGCGTTGAGACGAGCGAACATGAGGAGAGCTTCGGGATAGCAACGGATAGCAGGTAGTCTACCGGACCCGCGCTCCACTCAGTAATTCATACTAGTTCTACTGTCCGACAGCAGAAACAAAAATATGTGAATGAGAAAAATGTCATGAATTTGATTCTATCAAAATACTAAGTATG